TTGTAGTGAGAGGGTGATTGCTTAACCAACTATAGATCGTGCATAAAAGTAACACGATACCATGGCGAATGGGGTGGATGCTCGACCGTGAGCCTTCAACATGACGAGTCGCCTTAAACGGTAAAGGTCAGTGTTTAGTGATGAATCGTGTAGATTAGTAATTTTGGGGAATTACTTTCTGCTACGAGGACATAAGCAGTAGTTTGTCCTTCACGCATTGTCGAAACATATTTCGAGTCGAGAATACCAGGTGTAAGCCAGTTGCATAAAAACAGACTTAAGTACACTTGGATAGCAATCGTGTTACCATTGAAAAAACTGTAACTGGACGTAAATTGCTCTCTGACGCTGCGGTCAGAGTAACTTACACTCTGTACCCCACAGATATGTAGTCGCACTACTTTGCATTATTTAAGGTATAAAGCCGTACCACCGACCAGTGGCTGGTTCGTCAAAATATTCAGGTCTACCTGAAGCCTATCTGAGTATTTCAAGCACTTCATCGCTCTTTAAATCGTCACAGTAGAAAGTAGCTGGTCAGTTTACATAGCACGACAGGTCATTTATAAAATGAAAAATCGCTTAGAGTCTTAGGACCCTATGATGCCCTCGATGTCGGACTGTGCCAGGATCATAGGGCGCGATTTACCTTGGTGCTGGAAAAGTAACGGTAAATAGACGCTAATTATGTCTTGTTCATGGTCAGCAAACAGTTTTTTTAATCTTAACAGTAAAATACTATTTCGCTCCACATCCGGTTACCTCCTTACGTTTCAACTCTTTGCCGCAGCTTGATGAGTCCTCATGAATATCTTAGTTTCAAGTGGCTAAAAAATGGCGATGTTAGTTGTTCTAAAATTATTCCATTTTATAGTTTCTCAGCAAACACACCTACTGCTGAAATCACTGTTGGTCATGAATTACCGTTGTACTGCTCCTTGTCGGCTCGCTCCAACCAGCTAATTAATGGGCGACTCAGTATATATATTTTACCCACTTATTACGTCCCGGATTTAGAATATAAGTTACTTAGGACAAACATGTTAGCAAGTCCTCTGTTTCGTGAAATTGTGTGACTGATGTCGAGGGAGTAATTTGTTTTTAGATGGAAGTTATCACCTATCTCGAGAGGCTTTAGGCGTCATATCTTGAGAGAATCAAATACAATATCTAGGGGGTCTTGGTGGTGGTTGTTTTCTTTCTGGAGATATCGGCGCAGCTGTAGTTGGTGAGTGCTTACCAATCCTAGAGCATTTGCATATGTTTAGTTTTCTGTTTATCTACTTTGACCTGGTGTGTGACTCTGCAGCGAACACCAGCGTCCCAAGTTAAAGGGATTTTCAGGTGACTGGCAACTTAGCCGCAAATGGCATTGCGTAAGATTTCCGGCTGCCACTTTTAGTTCTTCTGTGAAACTTGGACAGTTCAGCAGCGTTTCGAAGGCTCTGTCTCGTACCCAAACCAGAAATTAGGGGTAATATCAGAGAAGATTTGTAGCTCAGGTGGATGATTCGCAGTCAGTACTGTCATCTGGGCTGGTTGGTAATCTCTCTGAACATCCTCTCCCACATTCTATGAGCATATCTCTCTCGAAAATATTCACAAATCTTTCTCCATGGCCATTGGATTTGAGACGATAATGTGGAGGCTGTGTCGTATAAAGCAACAGACGAGAAAATCTTCGGACTATTCAGATGTGAACTCAAGACTCTTATTATGAATTGTAGTGACTGAAGATAATATTTGCTAGGGCTTGCAACTTCGGGAATACTAAAGACAGTCCTGGAGAGTATTTGGTGGTTTTTTTATTATGACACATATATTCTCATGCAGCCCACCACTTGGCGGTCTATTTCCGGACATCGAGCATAGTTTCAGTCACCTGATTCTGTGCATTCGACAAGTAATAAATGTATTTTAGCCTCCTCCTTTTTAGCCGGTAGTATATTATTCATCAATGTACCCATTTCATAAGCGTGTGCCACTACCGCTTTCACTGTTGGCTCGGTCGGGTTGTAGCGAGTTAACGTCGATATCAATTTATGAAGATTTGATGCACACTCCTAAGCCTTTTTCCATATCACATTCTTACTCAAGCTTTACGACGGCGGTTTAACTGTATGCGCAGTTAAGAGTTTACGGAATATTAAGAAATGGGGACTTTCAGCCTATTTTGATCCATGAGAGTTGCTCTACAGTTGTCACATCTTGCTTCAGGTGAATCACTGAGAGCTGCTGAAATGAAATTTTCCTGTAGGGGGTTTTACAAGTCCACAATCCGATGCAGGAAACAGACTAGTAAACTTGAACTAATTAAATTTTAACGCGGCCTGCTTGCAAGTGATGGGCCCTAAGGAAGAGGAATAAGCAGGATAAATGGTTACATAGGATGTGGAATACAGACATGAAATCAGCCCTCAGGCCTAGAAATGGCAGTGAAGAAAAATATTCGCTCCAACCCGTATGTGTAAGAGAAGTTTAAGAGCCCCATGACTACTGCTAGCTCTCTTTTGATCTCAAATGTTAGTATTAATATTATCATCCACATAAGGAAATAGCCTTCATCAGAAAGGGATATCCCCGACTTCATTTTGTAACTTCAAGTAGACTAAATCCACACGTCGTCGGAGACTCTAAAACCTGCTCCCCTGCATTTACTGCTAGTAGCACTTAATATTGCTGCCTAGACACCAAATTAACTTCGATTCAGGAAATCTCAGAGATCGAGAGGGAACCATTGGTCCTCTAAGAAACAGCTCTGAAAGCTGTACATGCAAAATAGGATACTGGTACTGCAACACCTTGTTGTTTTAGATACCAGATTAACATGTTAGGCTTATGGTGATTATTCACAACGCACGGGTGTCTTTTGTTACGCATCTGAAGTGATGGACAACTTGCGAGGATTTAGATAATCTACTACGAAGCTTGAATAATTCCCGGAAACGTCGACTGACGTCGAAATGCGTCTGCATTAAATTATATACAGTAGAATAATAGTACCTCTGCCCCTCCAAGACTCTTGAAGTGGTCAGGACACACCAGACTTATCCTACATAAGTGAGACTGTAAACTGCTCGTACAGTTGCATAGGGGATAAAGTTTCATATGAAATCTCTCCCGCTAATGATTGCTATTGTTTATACAGACAGGACTGCGCGTCGGTGGCACGCTGGTTAGGACTCTCACCGACCATGCATATGGTCCGAGGTTCGATCCCCTTCCGACGCACACCCGATATCTATGGTCGGCCTGCAAAATTTGGGCTACCGATATCCATGCTGAAAATTCCGTACTTGTACCAAAATTACGGTGCGGAACCAAGCTTAAATCAAAAAAATGCCAAGCACCATAGTTCCTACAGGACTGTGACGGCATTTTTTGGTTACATTCGATATTTCCTAAGTAACTGGAATGGGCGGTGTGATAGAACTCCAGGATATTTGGTAACAGGGTAATCGGTAGGTATGAGACATCTGGTTAGGTATTTTAGGACCTCCTTAGTGTCCAGTTAAAACAAAATCCGTGCTGCACTGGTGGTTAATCAGTCGCTGATATTTAACAGAGATATCAGGGTGTACCACCGTCGTATCTTGTTTCGGTAGCTTCAGAAACAGCATTCTGCTGTTTTCGAGCTTGTGTGAATGTAAGCTGCGAATGAATTTTAGTGATTTCAGTTGACTATTCGTGATATATTTCAATTCAAGTAGCACGACGAAATTAACGTGTGTCTGAAATTTTTACATTCACTTATGAAAAGATGCGGACAGCGATAACGAGAGATCAACGGATCATAAGAATGTTCTCTCGGCACGTTCACTGTGGTGCCAAAGATGCAGTTACCCGAATTTTGTAGCAGGATCATACTGTGATATCAAACAGACTAATTTCCGGAAGTACGAGGTTTACTTGCTAGAAATCCAATTGACCAGAACAGCCCATTGGAAAGGAGTCTTTCTAGAAACAACATTAGCTATCATATGTCCCATTGTCATCCAGATAGTGTCAGAACCCTGTGACACTACTTATAATCTCAGTAACTGAAGGTGCTTTGAAAGCAAAAGTGGTATATAATGATTAGGCGCCAGAAAATGTGGGTTGAGTGAGGAGATTGACAGTCTTTGCTAGTTGCTTGTGGAACTTCTCCAGCCTTGATAAATCTGTAGAGACTTCAGATTTACTGCATTTGAGAAAAAGTCAGGAAACACAACGTAAGTGTAGTTCAGGTTAGCCACGAATATTGAATGCCTGCGATAAGCTCTCAAAAGCGCCTACTTGATGTCATCCAGCCAGCAGAATTAGAGATGATGCACGATGAGATGAGTGGGGAATAGTATTTACATGAAAGAAAAGGAAGTCTGTTTGACGTATTCGTCTTCTAAGCTAACAGAAAACTGACTTGACCGTTTTCATAGCTAACAAGTTACGAACTCGCCTCACCTTCCGCTGGGTATTCTTCATGTGAGTCCCACATTTCATCACTCACCTCGGAAATCTTCTATGCATATGGGCCCTGTATTTTATTAGTGAGACCTTGAAGATACCTCCAGGAGGTCCCTATGCAAGTGTAAGTGTCTGGGTTACGCAACTAGCCACGTATTTATCAGCGCTGATGGGAATATTCGAAATGTTACTGTGGTATTTTTCACTTGAGAATATCTCAAGCGAATATCTAGTTTTGTGGACCAAACTGTGACACTTCAACGAAATACGTCGTTAGGTAGAGGCCTAACATGCTATGTCCTGATCCTAAAGTAAGGATCCCTTGGCAGACATTGTTGTTTCTCATATTAGAAGTTATGTGATGAGATTATATAGGAGTGTTTAGTAATGAGTGACACTTCTAATGTTTCCGCATGCACAGTTTCAAGTGAAAATACCGAAATGAATGTTCGTACAGCTAATAGCCTAAAATATTGAAATGATTCTAAGGATCAAGGGAATTACAAGTTATGTACAACGTTTACACCATTGAAACTTAAAATAAGCTAGTTTTTTAAGCAGGATTAAAAGTCACAATCTGATTGGTGATTGGATTTCGTCAGTTAAGCAATACAAAATGCGTGGGTCAGTTGAGGCTGTGTTCTGAAGTTACCTGTGAGAAAGAAGCGTTTATTGCACACATTTTAATTATGATTCATTTATTATTAGAAATTATTCATGTTTCATTATGTAAAATTGAAAATTTTATTAACCTGCTCTTTCGGTAGTTGTTACTTTTAATTTGGTGGCGATACAGGCGCAAAGTATATTCAAAGAACATGGCGGAGTACTTGGCGTCGATTTTCGGCACTGAGAAAGACAAGTTAGTAGTTTCACTGGTTATCATAAGTTTAGAGTAAATTGCTCGTTTTATTTTAAAATTGGGGCTTGTCGGCACGGAGAGCAGTGCTCCAGACTTCATAATAAACCGTCATTTGGTCAGGTAAGCCACGCTTTCCAATATATTTTGGATAGACCATACTTCTTCAAAACCTCTACATCGCCCCTCAAAACACAGCTCAAAGTGCAGATGGTTCTCACAGTGAGTTCATTTTTTGCTTAGTATAGTGTCTATTCCGTACTGTTGCCCTAAGTGTTAGCGTAGAAAAGACTTCACTACCTCAAGTTGCTTTTTACATTCGTCTTTTTAAATATGTTGTACCTGCTATGTTGAGGTAGGTATGTCAGGATATAATTCTTGACATGCCATCTTCTCATAGTATTCGAAAAGTGATGATAAGTAAAAGCGATAGGTGCTTCTACTGTAGCGTAATTTTAGGGTTCTTAGTTAATTGCCTTGACAATAATTGACAGAACTCTTATTGAAGTGTGAGGTGATAAGAACACAATGCGAAGCTTAGGTTTGGTCTCCGTTCGTGTTTATTCAGAGTGTGCACGGTATTATCATATTCTGCAATCGAAACCTACTTGAAGATTATAGCTTAAATTGAAGTGTATGTGTGGTAATAACTGTTCACATCTCTGAATTCAATGACTTTTATCAGTAGCTTGGTGTTCTGTGTTGATTTCTCTGGGGGTCGTGACGCCATACAATCCTTGGATTCACAACGTAAACCGCTGAATAATTGCAGTGTTAATTTCGATATTCATTGCATAGCGTAGCAGTTTGTAGACAGACACATTTCAACAGTGTGTTAGATTTGTTCTTGAATTATTATCTAAGAGTGAGGTAAAGCGTACTTCCATGGTAAATAACATTCCTATTGTAGGGGTAATAAGAGGTACTGTTAATCACTCATTCACAAATTCGGTGTATTCATTGCACTATGCTACTAAACTTCTAATAATGTCGTACTTTCATGGTTTTCCATTGTTCCTCAACTTGAGCTGGCTAGTATTTTAATCAGGAAGTATTCATATCACCATGTCAAGGTTGGCGTTGCAGCATACTTGTCCTGGTTTCAGTAGGTGCTGAATACAATTTAAGTTATCATTTGTGGCAAGTGACTGAATTACAGTAATACTATGTTTCATTCAAAGTGATATAGAATTCAACCTAGATGAACTGTTATTCTAGTTAGTGTATATGTTAAACTTTGCGGTAGATTGATTAATGTGGAACTGGGATATAGCGTACAATTAAGTTCATTTAGTTGCAGCACTTGTGAATTTCTCTGTATTCACGAAATAACTAGTTTGTTAAAGATATAGATATGTTTTCAAATAACGTAACCGGCAGTTCATTTCTTTGGGACGACTTCAGAAAGCATCGTCTTAATCCCTCTATCTGTGCTACGGCTTACCTTCATTAGTCAGTTTCTTTCCATTTGTTACATAGACTAAGATGGCTAGGTCACGTGCTGCGCATGCCTAACCACTGCCTCCCCCGACGGGCTTTGCTAGCTGATATAGGTGCAGGCTGGAAAAGAGCCAGTGGTGGCCAAACAAAAACATGGCATCAATCCATGAAATCCTTGACAGTTAAACTGAGTCAGGTAGGGAGATGCAGACTCCCGGGTTGGGGTCCTCGGGACTCTAGGAATCAATGGCTGGAGACAGTAGGTGACATGGCTCAAAATCGTTGTCAATGGCGCAGATGTATTCAGTCTCTGTAATCTTTCATATTCCTTTCTACCATTACCCATTCTGTTTCACTCTTATACTTGTCAAACTCTATTGATTCACTTCACTCATCTTCTTGTCTACCTCTGTGTGTTATTTGGAACGTGGCAACTCGAACTGCTGCACTTCGGTGCCAAGTTCTATGTTGAATCCAGACAGACATTTGTCCTTTGCCTCTAGTTACTCATTAAACATGTATGAAAATGAAGTGGGTCTAGTCAACTTCACAACATCCTAGTGTAAGCTGCAGTCGAGCATAGAAATAAATCATTTGTTATGAGTTTACCGTAAAGGCAATCGTTGAGAAAGTCACAACTTTTATTGGCTACAAATAAGGAGCACTTCATTCCTTGGCGAAACTTAGTTTCCGTGCGGCTTGAAGTTTTAATCTCAGGTCAAAATACATGTAGTCAAAGCAAGTAAACATATTGGATCTAGTAATTGCTTATAAATACAAATACACATCTAGTTCCTGGTTGCTCACAGTAGTGTTTTTTTCAGTACTCAGTCAACTCGCAAAGTTGTAACCTTTCGGACATAACAAGTGTTAAAGAAAAAACGTCTGTAACTTGATGGAGCACAAGGCCACATTGCAGTCGTTTTGGTGTCACCAGCTGTAAGTCAACAGTCTATTTTGAACGAGATCAGAATGCAAATTAAATTTGTTTCCTTTTTCAAAGTAAACATTCATGTGTATATGTAGTGCCGTTCAGCTAATGCTTTTATCTTCCTCATGCCAAGTTAATCTTACAGAAGTTCAAGCTCAACAGATTTTCGACGAATTTTTCGAGGAGGTGTTCGTTGAATGTGAGGAGAAGGTATGTTTCTGCTCAATTCTTTCTTTCTTTTAGTATGGAGAAATAGAAGAGATGAATGTCTGTGATAACCTTGGTGACCACTTAGTTGGAAATGTGTATATAAAAGTACGGTCACCGTATTATTTCTTATATTGATTTGTAGTTTAGACGAGAAGAAGATGCTGAAAAAGCTGTTCAAGACTTAAATGAACGTTGGTTTGGTGGCAGACCAGTTCATGCAGAGCTTTCTCCTGTTACTGACTTTCGTGAAGCATGCTGTCGTCAGTATGAGTTGGGGTAAGTTTAATGTAATTACGTTGATATCTTCAGTTAAAATATTACTTCATGAAGCGGCGTCAGTCTTCGAAACATTGAGAACAGTGTAGCACTGGATGGCAGTGGTGCTCCTGTAGTTTCTAACTGTTACCGATTAGTGACAAAGCCTACCCTGAGATCAATCACATCCCCAACTTTATCATTTTATGCTTAAATCGGTGGTAAATACGACATAGTTGTCACTTGAAGGATCCTAAGTTCTGCAGTTGCAAATGAAATACAGTTTGATAACCTCAGATGTAGATGACTCTAAGAACGCATATCTCGCCTTAAGTTGTGGTGGATATTTACCAGATTATATTTGCTTTGTCACTCACATTCCAAACCATATTGCATCTCGAGAGTTATTATCCACCACAGTCTCGTATTTATCTTTTATTTTCTGAAGTGTGATGATTCGAAGTATTGCATTTATGTGCTAGGTCCCACCAAAATAAGTCAGAATGTCGTCGTGTCTGTCGATAAGCTAACAGCTTTCATGCTAACTGATATTCGTTTGACTTAACTGGTAACTGTCTCCAGAATCTAGATAGCACACTAAAGATTACTATTCCTTGTGTTTTGTGACAGTAACAATAGTTTCCAAGTATTGGTTTGCAGGGGTTTGATTGACTGCTTACTGGATTTCACCAGAAGGCCCTGGGTTCGAACGCCGGTGGGTGCATCCTGATGAAGAGTGTTAAGCTAGGACGTAACAGCTGTCCGGTACTCCCTGTAGGTTTTCCAATGGTTCTCTAACCGATGTCAGCTCATAATGAAATCCTGTAACCAAACGTTAGTTTTACTTCGTTTATTGTCTTAGGAAATAAGCTTCATCCTTTGTGTGCTGTCGGTGTTTTATGACAGTCCAAACGTCAGTCGTTTAAACTGGGTTCAAAATTATGAGTCACTATTTCAAGGTTGAATATTTAATCCACGTGGTCCCAACCTCACTTGGTTGTATTGCATCCTTCTGCCTCCCTAATTGTGTTCTAAAATTCTATCCGCGTGTTTTCTGCTTTACACAACTAAACAAGCGAATTGATACTTATGGTAACGCGTGGTTTTAATGCTGTAGTTAATTTTTCTCTGCTGATATGCTGACCTAATCATTGGTATCATCATTCTCATTTTATAGGTCTTTAAAACACGTTTTATTTGATTCAATCGTGATTCTACTCCATTCTCTGTCTGTTGGCTTTTGGAATGAGCCTATTGACGATTTGCGATTTCACCTTTTATTTCTTTTAGGGAATGCACAAGGGGTGGATTTTGCAATTTCATGCATTTGAAACCTATTTCTAGAGAACTTTGTCGTAAGTTGTATAACAGAAGCAAAAAGCGATACGGACGAAGACGGCGGTCACGTTCTCGTTCAACGTCCAAGAGTAGGCGTCGACGCTCAAGATCAACTGGTCGGAGTTCAAGACGTTAGGATAATGGATACATACCTTGTTTCTTGTATATGAATTGCCTTCCACAAATGTCGTCCTATGGTTGCAAATATTTGAACACAATGTCAGCTATGTAAATTTTTATGGTTTACTTAATGAAGTTTTTTATTGAAATGCTTTTGTTTCTTATGTACTACTTAAATATTCCTAAGAGATTCTGTAATGCTTAAAGCTAAATCGGCGAGAAACGTAATGCGTTGGTATTTTCATCGATGAAATTCTCGATTAGGGTGATGCTGGCGGAGGCGTCATATTGTTTTATCCTTTTTAATTATAAATCTACTTGTTATTGGTTCTAATGTGCATTCGGATGCAGATTTTGACTGCTGACATAACTCCATGTATCCAGTCGAATATCAATGTAGGCAGTTCTAGTGTCGGACAAGAACCGATCGCTAGGCTTGAGCTCATTGGTCTAGTCTTTGAACTATCAACTGCTTAGTCACATGTTCGAACCGTCTCCACTTATTGGAGTATTCGCAGCCAGGTGGCATCACTAGCTCTCACATAGGTGTGGCTTATATCCAGCTGCATAGATTTGCAATTGATTGCTGATTAACATTTTATTAGTAAAGCTCCGGTGAGGGTTCTACAGACTTTGCTCGTGTGGTGTCCCAGTAGTGTCGTTTAAAATACGAAGTAGCATGTTGTTTATTCAAGCTAAAGTGGTCATATTTGGTGAAGTTCTAGTTTGTCATTGATTTGCATGTGATCTGGTTACGGTTTTCTGTGTAAGTCTAAGCTTAAAAAATTAAGTAATCTGGTTTGTTAATTATCACTTACAGTATGAAGCTGATAATATGCTGTGCATTTCTTCCACTGTGTAATTCGCAAATGACATGTTTTCTCCCAGTAAATTATTGTGAATTCCACTGCACTGTTGTTAAGAACGCTGAATATTCATATAAATTCATTTTACTGATTTGGGTCGCATTCGAGGAATATTATACAATTAAGTGCTCTTAATGTGTTCGAGCTCTTCGTGCATTTTCCTATAAACTTTGGCTACAAATCTTAGAAAAAACCAGACTATTGGGACTGTTAAATATGGGGGTGACATACTAGTTTGTAGACTAACTGAGTTACTAGGCAAAGTCTGGGAATCAGAGACAGTACCATCAGACTGGGGTAAGTCACTTATTATGCCGATATTCAAGAAGGGAAACAAGTCCTCGTGTGATAATCATAGGGGGATCAGCCTAACGAACATAGTTTCTAAAATCCTAGGCTCAGTAATCATGCATAGACTAAGCAGAACTCGGGAGGAACAGACAAGGGAAAATCAAGCAGGCTTTAGACCAGGTAGAGGGTGCATAGATCATATCTTCACTCTTCGACAGATTCTAGAACATAGACACACTTTTCGGCGTCCAACAATTGCCATATTTCTTGACTTGAAGGCGGCCTTCGACTCCGTGGATCGAAAGGTACTATGGCAATGTCTGACTGTGAAGGGAGTGCCAAGAAAGTACATTGCACTAATCAAGGCACTCTATTCAAACTCACGTAGTCGTGTAAAGGCTTATGGGGAATTGTCATCTGAATTGGTAACAACCAGTGGTGTCCGACAGGGATGTCCACTTTCCCCATTTCTGTTTAACTTCATCATAGAAATGCTAATGGAAGTATCCTTAACTGAACGTAGTGACTTAGGAATCGACTTGTTACCAGCTGCTTTCGCTGACTTACACCATCTCTGGCGTAGGCGTGACATCCGGTTATCAACCAAGGGACGTGTGTACTGCTCATCAGTTCGCTCCGTCCTTCTCTGTGGCTCTGAAACATGGCCAATACGCGTTGAAGACATGAAAAGGTTGACTGCTTTCGATCATAGATGTCTGCGATCTCTGTCTCACGTTAGGTGGTTTCACAAGATAAGTAATGTTGACGTTAGGCGTATAGTGTTAGGCAAAGAGGGAAAATCAATCGATGAGGCTATAAAGTTACATAGACTAAGATGGCTAGGTCACGTGCTGCGCATGCCTAACCACCGCCTCCCCCGACGGGCTTTGCTAGCTGATATAGGTTCAGGTTGGAAAAGAGCCAGTGGTGGCCAAACAAAAACATGGCATCAATCCATGAAATCCTTGACAGTTAAACTGAGTCAGGTAGGGAGGGAGATGCAGACTTCCGGGTTGGGGCCCTCGGGACTCTAGGAATAAATGGCTGGAGACAGTAGGTGACATGGCTCAAAATCGTTGTCAATGGCGCAGATGTATTCAGTCTCTGTAATCTTTCATATTCCTTTCTACCATTACCCATTCTGTTTCACTCTTATATTTGTCAAACTCTATTGATTCTCCTCACTCATCTTCTTGTCTACCTTGTGTGCCAATTGGAACGTGGCAACTCGAACTGCTGCACTTCGGTGTCAAGTTCTATGTTGAATCCAGTCAGTCATTGGGACTGTATACTAGAACTCACACAGTTGTACTAGTGGGAACACTAACGTATCATTTTGATCGGACCTGATAGCGGTAATTTTTATTACCAGATGAGCATACGCTTAGTTTCTGATAACATAAACTGATTGTAATCTGAAACTTACTTTCCATTGTGTAGTGCGGTCTACTGTTATCGTCACTTTACTTAATTAGGTTATAACAGCTGGTCACTGTATCACTCTGTAGTATTTCAGTCACTCGAATAAAATGACTGCGCGTTCACTTAGTAATATATTAAATGCAGCTACTACATAGTAGTTAGCGATGTTCTGAAATTGGTGGTATTTGGGACCTTTACTTTGATGAAGATGTAATCACTTAATTAGCATTGGATGTCTTCGTAAATAATGACGTACTAAGCTAATTAGTGGCACCTCTAAATTAACTTCCGGATGTTTAATCATAAATCCAGTTGGTTTTACGGTTAATGTTTAGCGTCTTCACATTACTGTCAGACTGAATGTAGGCAACATCACTTTAAAAAAGTCTCGCCTTTCTCAACACTATGGAAAGAAAGCTGAGTTTATATTGTGTTCAACTCGGTCAGGCGAAATCGGCATAAATATTTCTAGTAAATTACTTGCCTTGGGGCTTTCAGAATAAAGTGTGGAGTAGGGATCTGATGGTGTTTGTATGCCCTTACATCACTAAGACTTCAGCAGAGTTGTTTACTTGACGAACTTCACCGTAGCGCATCGCTACAGCTACTTCTGACTCACCACGTCAGCTATCGTTTCCTAATCGAGTATGTAACTCACATAAATCCAATCATCTCTAGAGGTTATTTTTGTTATTATCCATAGTATGACGTGGACACCTTCCTCCGGGCTAGAGTAATAAGATACATCTGGTTCCTGAGGTCTTCTGTCTCAACGAATCTGTCGTACCTATGAGTGTTTCTCAAATAAAGCAGTCACCATACCTACATATGTTAAAATGTTGCATACAAAGATTTGATTTCTTGAAAAATTAGGCTACGTCCTATCCTAGGAACTAAGTTTTTTTGTTTTAAAACGTTTATAAGTATTTTCGAGTTAGAAGGATGTGACTGAATCTAGTTAAATAGACAATTGTTTGGCGATCTCCTTTTTAAGGTGGCACCACTTAATCAGGGCGTTCTAATAAAAAGACCAAAATACACCATCATGATTTCATGAAAATTCAACAATGTATTATTGACTTTCGAAATTACTACCTCCTTTAATCCATTACATTACTCAGGTATCAGTGTCAGGCCAGATTTTCTGGCTAAAGTGCAGCAAATGTAGCGTAGTTCATTTGACTAATTTCACCGATAATACGCACTTCAGAAAAGAGATTTCAATGCAAAATTTCACTCAGAAGACATATAAAGAGCATAACTTGCCATTAACCACCATAGCAATAGATTACAACTAGGAGGGATATGCCAATTGTTTTTGACTAATAAGTAACTTACGTTTAAGTTATAATATACCTTGGTTTTAGGTGTTATAAGTCGGTCGCTAGAAAACTATGGACCTACATCGATGGCCAATTTCTGCAGTATTATTGAATAGGTTCTTAGCTGACGAGTATTAAAATTAAAAATTGTAACTGACTGGTCGGTATGTTACTATTCAAGTTAAGATAGGTTAAATGGATTTGGTTTTGAGATTTATGTACTTAAATTAGTGAATCAGTCTTCCAAACATTAATTCCGCTCAAAACATATTCATTCGTTGATTGTAACTCCTCAAACAATGTAATAAAAAAGTCATTTCTATTTTTTATTCAGATAAAATGATTACATATTGTTTAACTTGAGAAATTATTATTGACTGAAGAGATCTGTAGTGAAGTATTCTGAAGTTAAGTAATTTGACTACAATGGTAACTCGTCAAAGCTTTCTGTATTTCATATAGTATTCTCCACAGTGTATTCAAGGTAGTCTCTGTCAACTGACTGTACATAACTGTACTGTAATAACGACCTCTAATTTGACATTCTAGACCAGTGTTTGGACTTATGAAATTGAAAGTTTTATTCCCACTGCTATTATTTGAATAGGCTGCAAGGACCCCATGTTCTAGGAAAATAATCACCAGAATTATTGTAAAGAAATTCTCCTTGATATTGATTTTTTCATGTTGATGCATTCTGGATTATGATCACTGTCTCACTCTCTCTGCAAATATATACTCCCAGTTTACGTTACCTTGTCAACAGTTGCCAATGGCTACTGGGGAAATAGTTTTAACTTTTGGGTGGTTCTTTGGTAGGCTATAGTAACTGGAGCATACACATTTAATTGTTCTCAATCAAACGGTTTCAATGGATGGGATTTAGCCACCAACTTATTTCTAGTGTCATGCGTGACTCTAGTTCTTTGTCATGACCAACGCATTCATTTTTACTTTACATTGTTTAGATGCTCAGTATGTTATTATGCCTGTCTTTAAGATACTTTCAGAGATCAGGGTGTACGATTTCTTTTAGATCTGGAAGTAATGTGTTGTTAGCACTTAAACGATTCAAAACAGCTTTCCTTATATTTCTAGTCCGTATTATTATTATTATTATTTATTATATCCTTTAGTTCCTAGAGGAACTTAGGGCTTCAGCTGCACACCTCCATTGCCTTCTGTTTTCTGCCAACTTTTTCACCCCGCTCCAAGTCTGTCCACATGCTTTCAACTCCTCCTCAAAT